TGCGTGCGTGCTGGTGCGACCCGCGCGACGCGCCAGCGCCGTACGGCAGCACGCTGCACTACCACTGCAAGCACGAGCCGACCGGCGGGGAGTTGGGCGACATCGGCACCGATGGTTCGCTGCTGGACACCAGCGGCAAGAAGAATCGCTCCCGGCGTAAGCAGCAGATGGAGCTGCAGCGCACCATACAGAGTACAGCGACAGGCGTCGTGGAGGTGCGCAAGGCGGCGTACCAGGGCTGCAGAGAAACGAATCACCGCTGCGAGTCCATCGGCTTCTACGGCCGCCCAAAGCCGGACAGGAGCTCTGTCTTCTTCTTCGCCTGTGCGCACCCCATGCGTGCGCGTGCGCTGAAGATGGACAGTGGCGAGGATTGAGTTTCTCTTTATATGATATACATACATATATACATTTGTGTGTGTGTGTGTCTGGCAGGTTTGATGTACATTCAGATGAAAGACGCCGAAGTCGTTGAGTGGTTGACTGTGCTGTTGGCAAAGTTCTAAGTGTGTTTGTGTTTGTGTGTTCGTGTGTGTGTGTGTGTGTGTGTGTGTCTCTGCGAGGGAGAGAGGGAGAGAGAGCGTGTGTCATCGCACACTGGCAGTCGTGCTGCTCTCTTAGACACGCACACACACACATATATATATATACACACAAAGAAACACGCAAACACACACGCGCACTTACAGGCATACGTACATACAAGCACACCTGAGTGCCCATGGATTTATATAAAGAGATGTTCCCAATTCACGGCTGCGTGCCCATCTGCCTCCTTTCTGCTCCGCTTTTCTTTTTAAAACAACAACAACACCGAACTATACAAAACAAAAAAGAAAATAGAGCCAGGTGTAAGGAAGGTTCTGTTGGCAGCGTGCAGAAGGAGTGAGACAGGCACACGTTTACACACTTGCGCACTCTGCTGTTACGTTAGAGCCAAGGCTGAGCATTGCGAAAGGAGAGATTATTATTTAACGGTCGTGACTCACAACACGTGGCGATGCGGACAAGCGCAATGCGGCGGCGCTTCTTGGATTCCCTCCGCTCGTACTGGCGCTGGAATCGGGCCAACCTTGCTTCCTCCTCCTCCTC